ATCTGGAATATGCTGCCTCAAAGGCTGGCAGAAGTAGATTTAAAGGAAACTTTTAAAAGGGAATTGGATAATATTTGAAGGATATTAACTGAATTTAATTTTCTTTTCTTTATTCATTCATGGGATATGGGGATCACTGGCTGGACAAGCATTTATTGCCCATCGGGCAGTTGAGTCAACCACATTGCTAAGAGTCTGGAGTCACACTTAGGCCAGACCAGGCAAGGATGACAGATTTCCTTCCCTACAGCACAGTGAACCAGATGGGTTTTGCCCTGATAACTGGAAAAGGTTTCATGGTTATCATTGTACTCTTATTTCTAGATTATTGCTGAACTCAAATTCTACCATCTGCTGTGCCAGGATTTGAACCCTGGTCCTAAAAACATTACTTGGATCTCTAGATTAATAGTCTACCAGCTACTGCAGTAGGATATAAACCTACGCTCCCGTGCTAGTCCACTATCACTCCACCATCATCACCTGAGTAGTCCAGAAGCCGAGGTTAATGCTCTGGGGATAGGGGTTTGAATCCAATTAATAAAAAGTCTACAATTAAAAGCAAGTCTAATGATGACCAGGTAACAGCTGTCACCGTTATAAAAACTCATTTGGTTCATTAATGTTCTTTATGGTAGGAAATCTGCCGTTCTTACCCGGTTTGGCCTATGTGACTCCAGAACCACAGCATTTCACTACCCTCTGAAATTGCTCAGCAAGCCCATGCAATAAGAGATGGACAACAAATGCTTGCTTAGCCTGTGACACCCACATCCTATAAAAGAAAAACAAAAAATAAAATTGGAGGGGCAAATTTTGGGGGCAATAGGGAAAGGGCAGTAGAGTAGCACTAACTGGCTTATTCAATAATAAAGCCTGCATGGGCATAATGGGCAGAACCAGATGCTTCCATTCTGAAGGGTTGCTGATCCTCCGAGTGACAACAATTTGAGAAATGGAACCAGCAGCTACTGGCAGCATAGCAATGTCCAGTCACAAAGAGCAGCCGCAAGGGGCAGGTCATGGTTGGTGTTGGTACCAGTACCAAAAGATAAACAAAATCAAATACAAAGTGGAACTTCCCACCTTATCATTAGGATGGACAGCAAGGAGGATGAGAGAGAAGACGGAATATATGGAATTAAATTCCACTAAAGGTCAGGGTCTTCAGGAGAGATTAGTAAAGGTTTGAGGGCAGTTCATAAGCTCCCAAACAATAACAGATCTGTATTGGTGCATGAAAGTTAGTGTTAATTGTTTGGCCTGGGTTTACTGTACCTTCCTTGTGGATCACAGGTGATAGCATGTAGAAATATTTTCAAAACAATTCAGTAAAATCACAATATGAATTCTGTTTGCAAAAACAAGAAAGAAGTTAAACTTGTGTGTGCAGAATACAAGTGTCCACAATATGAAGCAGTCCATTGGCAGTTTCAATGTTCACATCTTGGACTGTTACTGAAAGCCCCCGTACTGAGCTGCCTGCAAAAGGACAAGAGAGACACGTTAAGCATTAAAAACACTTCAGTGGGTTTAGCGTGGTGAATAACTAAGCTTCTGCTAGAATATTCCTCTCACTGGACAAACTTGCTACAGAAACCTTGACCAAATGGCCAAACTTTATGCTCAAGTCTAGACAGTGAGGGTCAATGTGTCATTCAACCACAAGCAGCATTGCATCAAGCCTATTCTTTACACGTGTACACATGTGGACAGGGACATACTTACAATATCACTCCCCATATCTCAGTGTTGCCGGTGAAGCGTTGGTGAAGTGTCCCGTTTGTTGTTTATATGCCTCAGTTTGTACACAGGGTCTAATTCAATGTGTTTGTTGATGGAGTTCTGGTTAGAATACCAGGCCTCCAGGAATTCCCTGGTATGTCTCTGTTTGGCTTGTGCGATTATGGATGTGTTGTCCCAGTTGAATTTGTGTCCCTCAGTGTCTGTGTGTACTGAGACCAGTGAGAATTGGTCGTGTCTCTTGGTGGCTAGTTGGTGTTCATGTATCCGTATTGTCAGTTTTCTTCCAGTTTGGCCTATGTAGTGTTTCTCACAGTCCTTACGTGGTATTTTATACATTACACCAGCTTTGTTGCTTTTGGGTATGGGATCCATTACGTTCGTCAGTAGCTGTTATAGGGTGGTTGTTGGTTTGTGGGCTTCTCTGATACCTAGGGGCACGCCCCCCATCTCTATTTATTTCAGAGCCCCCTTCCCCTCCCCCATTTCTGAAGAAGGGTCCCGACCCAAAATGTCAGCTTTCCTGCTCCTCTGTTGCTGCCTGACCTGCTGTGTTCCTCCAGCTCCACACTGTGTTATCTCAGACTCCAGCATCGGCAGTTCTTACTATATCCATAATAGCACAAGCCAAACAGAGACATACCAGGCAATTCCTGGAGGCCTGGTATTCTAACTGGAACTCCATCAACAAACACATTGAGAATTAGGCCCTGTGCACAAGCCACTGAGAAACAGAACCTGAGGTAATACTAACTACCCGAGCAAACTAAGGCATATAAATAACAAGCGGGACAGAACATTGACACCTCACCAGAGGCGCACTGATGTTACTTAACAGGGCGACGAAATGTTTGCAACCAAATCCACTGCTTGGCGAGCACGTCTACAACCCGAGCTACAAGTCTTCTCAAAAACTCTGAAGGACAATACTGGCAGCTCAATGTTCCAGGTTTTCGATGAAAAAGGAGCAATAGAAAGGGAGGCAAGAGAGGAATCAGACTGGTGTTTTCGATTAAGGAAAACATTGACGGGATATTTCTGAGGGATCATCCAGTGAAGCTATACGGGTAGAACTTAGAAACAAGAAAGGGATGATCACCTTGATGAAATTGAATTGTAGGTCCCCCAAAGGTCAGAGGGAAACTGAGGAGCAATTATGCAGAGAACTCTCGGATATATATAAGAATAATAGGGTTGGAATAGTAGGGGATTTTAATTTTCTGAACTTTGACAGGACTGCCATCTTATTAAGGGCTTGGATGGTGAGTAATTTGTTAAATGTGTTCAAGATAACTTTTTTAAAAAATCAATATGTAAAATGTACCCACTACAGAAGGAGCAAAACATGACCTTCTCTTGGGAAATAAGGCAGGGCAGGTGACTGAAGTATTAGTAGCGGAACACTTCAGAACCAGAAATCATAATTATATTAATTTTAAAATAGCTATGATAAAAAGATAGGCCTTCCATAAAAGTAAAAGTTCTTAATTGGAGTAAGGCAAATCTTAATGGTATGTAACAAGAACTTCCAAAAGTTGACTAGATTGCTTGCAGGTAAGGGACAACTGACAAGTGGGAGGCTTTCAAAAGTGTGATAACAAGAGTTCAGAGGCATTATGTTCCTGTTAGAGTGAAAGGGAAGGCGGGTAAAAGTAGGCAACAATTAATGAATAAAGATGTTGAGGTTCTGGTCAAGAATAAGGAAGAGTTATATATTAGATATAGACAACTGGGATCAAATGAATGCAGATACTATAGTGACTTTTAAAGGGTGTCTTGACAAATACGAATAGGACGGGAATAGAGGGATACAGTCCTCGGAAGGGTAGGGGTTCTGGTTGTGAGGGGCAGCATGTCAATGCAGGCTTAGAGGGCCGAAGGGCCTGTTCCTGTGCTGTAATGTTCTTTGTTCTTTGCCTTGAGGAGTGTAAAGGGTGTAGGGGTATTCTTAAGGGGGAAATCAAGAGGACAAAAAGGTGATAAGATAGCTGTGGCAGATAAGGTTAAGGATAATCCACAGAGATTCTATAAGTACATTAAGAGCAAAAGTGCAACTAGAGAGAGAATAGGGCCTCTTAAAGATCAATGTGGTCATCTATGCGTTGAACCTCAGGAGATGGGAGAGATACTAAATGAATATTTCGCATCAGTTTTTACTGTGGAGAAAGAAATGGAGGCTAGAGAATTCGGAGAAATAAATATTGATGTTTTTAAAACAGTTCGTGTTACAGAAGACGAGGTGCTAGAGGTCTTAGCAAACAAAGTTGGATATATCTCCGGGACCTGATCAAGTGTATCCCAGGACATTGTAGGAAGTTTGGGAAGAAATTGAGGAGCCCCTAGCAGAGATATTTGCATCATCTATGACCACGGGTGAGGTGCCAGAAGACTCAAGGATGGCTAATGTTGTGCCTTTACTTAAGAAAGACTGTAAGGTGAAGTCTGGAAACTATAGTCCCGAGTCTGACATCAGTGGTGGATAATTTGTTGGAGGTGATTCTGAAATATAGGATTTGCATGCATTTGGAGGGGCAAGGGCTGATTAGGGATAGTCAGCATAGCTTTGTTCAAGGGAAATAATGTCTCACAAACTTGATTGACTTTTTTGAGAACGTAACCAAAACGATTGATCTGGGCAGAGCGGTCAACATTGTTTACATGGGCTTCAGTAAAACCTTTGACAAGGTACCATGTGTTATACTACTTAGTAAAATTAGATTACATGGGATTAGGATGAACTTGCCAAATGGATCCTAAATTGGCTTAATGGTAGGAGACAGAGGGTGGTGGTGGGGGGTTGTTTTTTGGACTGGAGGCCTGTCAACAGCGGTGTTCCACAAGGATCGGTGCTGGGTCCACTTTTGTTTGTCATTTATATAAACAATTTGGATGAGAATTTTAGGAGGCATGGTAAGTAAGTTTGCAGGTGACACCAGAATTAGTGGTATAGTGGACAGCGAAGATGATTGTCCAAGATCATGAAGAGATCTTGATCAATTGGGTCTATGGGCTGAGGAGTGGCAGATGCAGTTTAATTTGGATAAATGAGAGGTATTGCATTTTATTAAACAAACAAGGGCAGGACTTATACAATTAACGGTAGGGCCCTGGGTAGAGATGTAGAACAGAGACACCTAGGTGTTCAGGTACACAATTCATTGAATTTTATATCAGAGGGAGACAGGGTGGTTAAAGCAACATTTAGCACGCTTGTCTTCATTGCTCAGGCCTTCGAGTCTCGAAGTTGGGATGTTATGTTGAGGTTGTACAGGAGTTTGGTGAGGCCTCTTCTGGCGTAGTGTCCAGTCTGGTCACCCTGCTATAGGAAGGACATTATTAAATTGGAGACAGTTCAGAAAAGATTTACCAGGATGTTGCTGGGAATGGAAGGTCCATGTGACACAGCATGGTGGGCTGAAGGGTCTATTCCTGTGTTATACTGTTCTATGTTCTATCTACTGTGAACAGCCACTAGAATCTACAAAGCATACAGCAGCACTAGAGACTGCAGAGGTTACACATACCAGGAAAAGATAGTCAGAGGTTCATTCCTCAAGAGAGAGGTAAGATTGAGGGGGAGACTTTGTTAAAAATTATTTTACACATTTATTGTCCATCTCTAATTACCCTGGAGATGGCGATGATGAGCCACCTTCCTGAACTAGTGCAATCCATGTAGTGTGGATACACCCGAAGTGCCATTAGGATGGGATTCCCTGAGCAGATTACAAAGACACTTGATAAGCTAGATAGAAAAGATCTTTCCACTTGTGATAATAAATATAAATATATAAATAAATATAAGATAGTCACTAATTCAAAGTTGACTCATTGTCTTGCTAGCATTCTGGGATGATGGTCATAGAATCCATATTATCCCTACATTGCAGAAAGCGGCCATTTGGCCCACCGAGTCTGCACTGACCTTCAAACAGCATCCCACCCCGACCGAGCCCCCTACCTGATCCCCGTATTTATCATGGCTAATCCACCTAGCCTACACATTCCTGGACACTTTGGGCAATTTAGCATATCCAATCCACCTAACCTGCACGTCTTTGGACTGTGGAAGGAAACTGGAGCACTTGGAGAAAACCCACGCAGATGCAAGGAGAAGGTGCAAACCCCACACAGACAGTCACCTAAGGCTGGAATCGAACCTGGGTCATTGGTTAGGTAGCAGTGCTAACCACTGAGCCACCATGCCACCTGCAGTAGGAGTCACAAGACAAGGTAATAGGGTTTTGGTTAAATGTACATTATCCCTTGCTTCCGAATATAGCTGACAGAATCAGGATAAACTGCAGAATAGTTTCTTGCCATACCTGATTATACTGGAATGCCTGTTGCTGCGCTGGGTTGGGAGCAGGTTGCTGAGGTCTATAGGCAACGTACTGTTGCCCTGGATCCTGCTGGAAGTTTCTGAACTGTCCTTGAGAATTTTGTGCAGAATCTGTTTAAAAAAAAAAAAGATAATTAATTGACAAAAAGATCCTGCTTAAGCACTGGGGACATAAAACTACACAATTGCTGACGTTAATTCTTTTGTTGTTCAGACTGACTCAGTCTCTATCAATTCACACTGTACTGGTACACTTCAACAAGCCAAGAGCACTTCATAACGGCACATCTTTCGAATGAGACATTAAACTCCCCTCTCGGATGACTACTACATGAGGTCCCACAATCAAAGGACAGCAGAGAGTTCTCTGTGATGTTTGCCTAATATTTATCCCTTGACCAACATCATGAATAGCACATCTCTCAATCGGCAGTTCAACTATCTCCGAGTGAGTTAAAACCCCACTGTGAAGCCTGAAGAAGGGTCCTGACCCAAAACGTTAACTTTCTTGCTCCTCTGATGCTGCCTGATTTGCTGTGTTCCTCCAGCTCCACACTGTTATCTCTGACTCCCAATCATTTTCACATTGCATTTTCTGCAAATTTTTGAGTGGAAATTAGCTAACACAATAAATGTATAACAAAACTGGCTCACTCAAAACATACATCATGGTCTGTCAAGTGTTTTAGGATGCCCTGAAATAGTGAAAGGCACTACAGAAATGAAAGCTTGTCTTCCCTATGAAGGAGGGGTGCATTGGCAAAACTGCAAGGTGGTCATCAAGTGAACTACCAGAGCCAGTCCAGCCAATTGTCAAATGTTACAGTCCAGATGAAGACTATTCAAACAGTTAACTGAAACAAAAAACCAGGAATTTTCTTGAAGAAAGTCTAAAGAGAGCACTGAAGAGAAGGATATAACCCAACAGGACAGGTGAGGCGGAAGAACTGAGGATCGAGACTGGAGAGAGGGGGCAGGAGTAGTAAAACAGTTGGAAGAGGTTCGGAAAGCTGAACCAAGTAGCGAGAAAATAGGATGAGGCCATCAGGGAGTGAGATGTGACAGGGACGGCAAATAAATTTAAAGGGAAATCTGGAGGCATTCCACAGCCAAAGATTTAATCAGCAAAAACAGAAATTTTTAAAAGGAGTGTTCAGTCCTCCGCCTGTGAATCACTGGATGTAACCATCATTAAACTGACTTGGTGAGGCTATAAAAATGTATTCAAAGAAGCAGATAGATAGCAAGTTTCAGTAAGAAAATTAAAACAAAGTGCTTTATTCCCTGTGATGCCTAAAATTCTGAATGCAGTTTTACACCGGTGTACATGCAGGAAAATTGCTGCACTCTAGTTTCAGGGTAGACCAGAAGAGAACTGAGACAGGCTGTAAACCACGTCAGGTCAACAACAAAAAGAAGTTAACAGATAATGTCTAAATGGATTATAGTGCAGAAAGGAGGAGGTTCAGAGACTAGAATTGCATAGGTAAACAGACTCTAACCAAGTGAAGCTTTCCTGCTCCATAAATCTTCCCCCTGTTGGGGTACTGAGTCACTGAGCCACTGAGCCAGTATTAAAGCACTAGTTGCCCCTCAAAATGCAGGTCCCTTTAAGGGTCAACCAGAACCCTTTTATACCCCACCTCACCCCCGTGATTTAACACCTCTGGAGCAGGTGGAACTTGAACTCAGGCCTCCCGGTCCAGCTGTATAGACATACCGAGATAACAAGGTGTAGAGCTGGATTAACACAGCAGGCCAAGCAGCAGAGGAGCAGGAAGGCTGACGTTTTGGGCCTAGACCCTTCTTCAGAAATGGGGGAGGGGAAGGGGGTTCTGAAATAAATAGGGAGAGAGGGGGAGGTGGATAGAAGGTGGATAGAGGAGAAGATAGGTGGAGAGGAGACAGACAGGTCAAAGAGGTGGGGATGGAGCCAGAAAGGGTGAGTGTAGGTGGGGAGTTAGGGAGGACGGACAGGTTAAGGGGACGGGATGAGGTTAGTAGGTAGGAGATGGGGGTGGGGCTTGAGGTGGGAGGAGGGACAGGTTAGGGAGGTGGGGACGAGCTGGGCTGGTTTTGGGATGCGGTAGGGGGGAGGGGAGATTTTGAAGCTTGTGAAGTCCACATTTGATACCATTGGGCTGCAGGGTTCCCAAGCGGAATATGAGTTGCTGCTCCTGCAACCAGCCCAGCTTGTCCCCGCCTCCCTAACCTGTCCTTCCTCCCACCTCAAGCCCCACCCCCATCTCCTACTTACTAACCTCAATCCGCCCCCTTGACCTGTCCATCCTCCCTGGACTGACCTATCTCCTCCCTACCTCCCCACCTACACTCACCTTTACTGGCTCCATCCCTGCCTCTTTGACCTGTCTGTTTCCTCTCCACCTATCCTCTCCTCTATCCCTCTTCTATCCGCCTCCCCCTCTCTCCCTATTTATTTCAGAACCCCCTTCCCCTCCCCCATTTCTGAAGAAGGGTCTAGGCCCGAAACATCAGCCTTCCTGCTCCTCTGATGCTGCTTGGCCTGCTGTGTTCATCCAGCTCTACACCTTGTTATCTCAGATTCTCCAGCATCTGCAGTTCCTACTATCTCTGTATAGACATACCGCTGTGCCACAAGAGGCCCCATGGGTCAACCAGAACTTTTATTAACCTGTTCAGAGATACATTTACACATCTCTGAAGCAGGTGGGACTTGAACTTGGGCCTCCCAGTGCAGGGGTAGGGACACCACCACTGCGCCACAGGAGGGCTCCATGGGTCAACGAGTAACAGCTCCTGAGTTAAGTGGGAGCACAAGGCTCATTAGGTGTGCTGGATTTTATTCTTTGCCATTGCAAATACTTGTGGGCCCTTATGTTGCAGTGGTAGTGTCCCTACCTCTGGGCAAGGAGACTCCAGAGGTGTGTCATCTCTGAACGAGTTGATTAAAAATATCAACACCAGGATTTACTGAAAACTATTTTTTATTCAATTACACTGCACTATTGAAGCCTCTGGTCCAAACCCTGGATGAATGAATATGGGAAATGGAATTCAATTGATGAATTAAACAAGCTGAGCTCTTTAGCAACTGGTAGTGTCCCTTCCTCAGAAGGTCTGGGTTGAAGTCCCAGATGTATCATAACAGGTTGATTTAAAAGATAGCATTGGGTTCTTCCTCAGTGGGGACTGGGGAAAAGGTTTAGAAGGGAAAATTGGAAAGTTGCTTAAGCTAAGCTATGGATTACCAATAAAACCCTTGTAAATCTCAAAGTCCTTTGCCGCTTAATTCAATATAGGGATATCCATCTGTTAAACATCTTCCGTTTTAATCACTGTCCCAGCACCCAAAGTATATCCTCCATATTACGATAAGACACAAGGGGTCTTGCTCCGATAGAAACTTCCAGAACTCACTAAATTCCTGAGGCGTGCTGGTCAGCGGCTGCTGTGTGGGATATTGCTGGTAGAAGTTCTGCTGGTGGGAAGTGGAGTTCTGTGGGAACTGCCCTTGCTGTGGTCCATACCAGGTACCTGTGACAAGACAATCAATCCTAACGTTAGCTCTCTGTTAACTCATCACATAAATTTATTTCAGTTTAACATGAGATTTAATTCCCATGGTCAGGGACACTGATTCTTACTGGAATACAGGTCAAGGGTTGATGGCCACCCTCCTGATCTCAGCCATTTTATCATCCTGCATACATGGTGCGGTGTTAGATATTTCTCTGGCGTATGACACAGTGACCTTGAGTTCACATCGCACCAGAGCAGGTGGAGATTTGGATATGTCCAGTAAGAACTTCTCTCTCTGGGTCCATACCATCACCTGCAGAGCTTCTCACCCACAGCAGCCCAATAATATCACCTTGTTCACTTTGATATGCAGCTTTTGGAGATGTCGCCAGCACCTACGGAGTCAATTTCTGAGGAATAGCTTCACCACTCCCTCAGTCCATCCTGCTATCACAAGGATGAGGGAACATTCCCTCCACCTGAACCCTGGTGAGGTGAAAGCCAAGAGCACATTGTCCCTCTCAGCTGTCCTGCCCCCCGCACTTCACTGGACAGTGTGGAAACTTGGGAATCTGACTAAACCCTGTGCTTGACAACATAGCCTGGCACTCCCTCACTCAGACTACAGTTGCTTTAATCCTCATCCTTACTCTTGTATCTAACTCTCCACTGTACCTGTCCTGAGTGTGTTTGCTGGGGACATTACAGAAAGAATTTTACTCTGCATCTAACGCCATGTGGTACATGCCCGAGGAGCATTTGGTAGAGACAGCGTAGAGAGAGCTTCACTTTCCATTTAAAAGAAAAAGTGTAGAGGGAATTTTGCTCTATTTAGCACTGTGTTGTACATGTTCTAAGAATGCCCAATATTGATATCAGGGACCTGAAACGGCAAGTGTTCCGTTCCCAAACAGACATTCTTCACTTCGATGAACACAATACAGCCAGAGAGAATCAGTTCAATTTTTGGGTGTCAGTTTCCCTGCTGATCCAGTGGCCCTGTCTGTTGGGGAATCAGCTTCTGCTGTAAATATTACTCATTTTCCAGTAAAGGTGTAATATAAATTTAAGTTATTATTAAAAGATGCTGCAATCTCTGACTTAGTCATTCCTTATGCAAAACAAGCCATGCTCTATGCGAAGAAATTTGTCCAAACCCCTCACACAATTATTGATTTTAAATTAATAACCCCTCATTACATACTCCCCAGTTAGAGGAAATTGTCTTTCCTCATTTACTCCGTGAAGAATATTTGTAGTTTTAAAAACCTCTATTAAATTTTCTCTTAACTGTTGCTGCTCCAGTGGAAACATTCCCAATACTGACTGCCCTCCTACAGTCCACAACCACCTAAAGCCCACAGCTGGCATATCTAGCTAAGAGCTTTCACTCCTTGCACTTCAGTCCCCAAGCAAGCTTCTCTGACACAGAAATTTAGTACCTTCTGAATAAAGTTGTAGGTTCATTCCCTCTGCTGGAGCCTGCGTCTGGTTAAACTGGTTGTTGAAATATTCCCCCTGAGATGCCTGTGGCTGTGCAGGAGCTGATTGGTAAGAGACAGACATACATCAGTGACAAGTTCATTCCTCACCATCGTGAGCAATAACACTGGAGAGTTCAGGACTATAATCAGGAAGCACTTGTCACACACAGGTGATGAAAATATGAAACTTTTTCCCTCAAAAAGGATTTTTGGAGTCAAGGCTTCAAGACCAAAGATTGATAAAGACAGAGATTGAGCAAGGAGAATAAGGGAGAGAGAGCAAAGTGGGGTAAATGGAATTATGATGCAAACCAGCCTCAATCTAGGAGAAAGGTAAGGCTTGAGGGACCTCCTCCTGGTTTTAAAGTTGTGAAGCAATTTGATGGCGTTAGAAACTGCTTTCACTTTATGGCTGAATCCAGAATAAAGATGATCATTCTTATAAGAAAAACTCCAACAGATCAAATGCATCACGCATAAAGGCGAGTAGAATGTAGAACTTTGCACCATTTGGAGTGGTTGAAGCAGAGTGCATCACTGAATTTAAAGGGAGGCTGAATGTGTTTGATGAAGAAAGGGGTAGAGGGACAGATTGCAAGAGGCCAGTGGACTGGGCCACTTAGGCCAAATGTCCTGTGGATACTATGTAATAAACAGTCAATATTGACTAAGGGTCACGTTAAAAATGAGCACTTTGGGGAATGAAATACATCACTTGTCCGCATCTGCTCTTTGATGGAACTATCAGCTTGGCGAGATATTGAAAAATCTGTGCATCAGCAGTATAGGTCCATGATTTACAAATGTCTGACTTACAAACACTCGAACTAACAAATGCGATCCCATTCATACTTGTAACTTTAAAGATCCAGCATATGGACATTTTCAGTATGTATGAACAGCTGCTTTCCCTGGCCCTACATTGTGTTCAGACTTGCATACAATTTGAGTTGCCAATGGTCTCCATAACATAAAATGTTTGCAACCCAGGGACTGTCTGTACTCTAACAGCGTGGCTTAATTTACCCTCAACTTTATTTCCATAACTGCTATTTAAAAAGTTCAACTAAGGTCATCATTTCCAGGTCTAACATACACCTACAATACCACTCTGTTACTGCAGATGGTGGAGCTGAGCTGCTGACAGACCTGTACAGCACTAGCAGGAATGTCCTGAACTGCTAACCTGATCAGGTAGCCATGATGTGGAGGTGCCAGTGTTGGACAAGGTCAAAAATCACATGACACCCAGTTATAGTCCAACAGGTTTAACTGAGTACACAAGCTTTTGGAGCGTTTTGGAGGAAGTATCAAGACACAATTTATAAGTAAAAGACCAAAGGATTATACAATTGATGTGAATGTATTTAATAATCCTAAATTGGCTGAAGGCTGCCTGATTCCCTCCTGTTAAATCCTTAATCAGTTAGAAAGAGATGCTGGTTTCAATGGATTAATATGTAACTCTCCAAATTTCTTTCAAGTCAATGTCCTGAGATAACTAAAGGTTTTATCAATGAATACAAGAAGTGACATATCAGGTCATAAAACACCTTTTGGTGTGAGGCCTTGTTTAGAAACTGTCTGTGCTTTAACGTGGAGTCAGACTGGTTTTATTTCCAAAGCAGGAATTTAGAAAATGCCTCACTGTGTCCACAAATGGTGTGCTTTTTGAACACAATAGAGTGTATCGCGTGCACGTGCGCGAGGGAGAGGGATGAATGGACACTGCACAGATGAATGGACTCTGCACAGCAATCGCCAGACAGGGATGTTCCCTCCCAATGGGGCAACACTTCAGTGCTCAAGGGCATTAGGCCTCGGATCTTCGGGTAAACACCCTCCAAGGCGGACTTCGGGATACACAACAACGCAGAGTCACTGAGCAGAGGCTGATTGGGAAGTTCGGTTCCTATGAGGACGGCCTCAACCGGGATCTTGGGTTCATATCACACTATACTACACACGCACACACACACGAATCTATGGGGTAAATTTGTATTTGCAGATACACTCTATTTTGTTCAAAAAGCACACAATTTGTGGGTACAGTCAGACAGTGAGGCATTTTCTAAATTCCTGCTTTAGAAATAAAACCAGTCTGACTCCACATTAAAGCATAGACAGTTTCTAAACAAGGCCTCACACCAAAAGGTGTTCTGACCTGAGACGTCACCTCTTGTATTCATTGATAAAACCTTTAGTTATCTCAGGACATTGACTTGAAAGAAATTTGGAGAGTTACATATTAATCAATTGAAACCTGCATCTCCTTTCTAACTGATTAAGAATTTAACAGGAGGGAATCAGGCAGCCTTCAGCCAATTTAGGATTATTAAATACATTCACATCAGTTGTATAATCCTTTGGTCTTTTACTTATAAATTCTGTGTCTTGATACTTCCTCCAAAACGATCCAAAAGCTCATGTGTTCAGTTAAACCTGTTGGACCATTACTGGGTGTCATGTGATTTTTGACCTTAACCTGACCACAGCTTTTAAACCCTGTTGTTCCATCCCAACACTGACCAAATTTTTAAAACAGAAATTCCACACCCTGCCCCAACACTCACTGAGGCATACTTCCCTGGCTATTGGAAAAGTCCTCACTTTTTATTGAGGGGCGTGGAAGACAAAGGGGAGGAAGAATAAGACCATAAGAAATAGGGAGAGGAGTAGGCCAGTCAGCCCCTCGGGCCTACCCGACCATTCAGTAGGATCATGGCTGATCCAACACTCTTTACATCCACTTTTCTGCCCTTTCCAATGCTCAGCTGTGTGAAGCCTTGTTCAGTTCCCTGCACTGCACCTCAGGAAAGAATTACTGGCCTTGCAGAGGGTGCAGTGCAGATTAACAAAACTACTGAGAATCATAAGATCTGATCAGATTGGCTTGTTGGCATTCTGTTGAATTTGGACCCTGATATAACTGAGGGCTTAAAATGTTCAAAGCTAAATATAGAAAAACCATTTCGTCCGGTGGACAAATCCACAATAAGAGGGTGAGATCTGCAAAATAACAATAAAACTGATTTCAATCCAGAACAGAAGTACAAAATTTGGAATTATGTCACTGAAAAGGGTTTCCCAAGGGTTCAAGATCAAGAAAGACCTGAAACGCTAAATGGTATCCAGGATAACTGGGGTTAAACTGCTCCTATCTCAGTCAAACACAGACTCGCTGCCCAAGCTCTCTCTCAGGTAGAGTAAACACCAAGTGCAGTGCAGTGTTTCTGCACTTTCATCAACTGGAGCACAACCCTGCCACGGTAGCTGGAAAATATGAACTCCGTATTATTTTAAAACTGAAAATAAAAATCTACTCTGGGTAAAAGTGTCTTTGAAGTTGTCGACTGTCAAATAAACCCTACTAGTTCACCAACATGCTTTAGGGAAGGCAATCTGCAGTCTTTACCTGGTCTGTGCTATAGGGGACTCCAGTTCAATACTGTCCCTAAGATACTCAATAGCAACATAATCTTCTCAAGTTCAATAATACAAACTCACGAAGCGCGACACCATCCAGGACAAAACAGCCCACTTAATTGGCACCACATCCACAAACATGCAGGCTCTCCCCACACTAGTAATCAGTAGCAGCAGTGTATACTATCTAATTCAAAGATCCTTAAACAGCATCTTCCAAACCCACGGCCAGTTCAATCAAGAAGGACAAGGGCAGCAGATACATATGAACTCCACCACCTGCAAGTTCCCCTCGAAGCCACTCATCATCCTGACTTGGAAATATATCGCTGTTCCTTCACTGTCACCGAGTCAAATTCCTGGAATTCCCTCTCTAAGGGCACTGTGGGTCTGCCTATAGCACACGGACTACAGCAGTTCAAGAAGGCAGCTCAGCACCACCTTCTCAAGAGGGTAACTAGGAACTGACAATAAATGTGGGGCCCAGCCAGTGATGTCCACACACCATGAATAAAATAAACGGGCAATAAATGCCAGCCCTGCCAAGGACACCCACACCCAGAGAATGAATATATAGATAAAATAAACTGCACCTCTATAATAAAGCCAGATTGGGCAGGGAAGGGACAATCCATGCAAGAACAGATGGTATGGAAAATGATGGTGGAGTTTGGGGGCGGGGGGGGTGTAGAGAAGACAGACAGAGACAGAGAGAGAGAATGGATGCTGACAGTCTTATGTCATGTTCGGGGAGAAGGAACATTGAACAAACTGCACCTTGCCGAGATAGACAGGTTGTGTGACCTATGGTATGCTATACCTGGGTTCTGCTGGACCACAGGCTGCAAGTGAGTGCCCAGGGGCTGTCCAAGACTCATTCCCATCTGCTCCTGGGCTGGCAAATTCTGTGGCAGAGCCATCGATTGGTTGAAATTGCCCACGTTGCTGTGACTGCTGACAGGTAAGCCTATTGAGGGGTTTGATGTAACAGGCTGGCAATGAGGCTGTCCCTGGGGAAACGATGCTCCGACACCTGTTATTGGAGAGATAGAAAAGTTGAGAAGAGACAAACAATAGTGTTTTTCCATCACGGTGCAATGACTGCTGCTCCCCATGGGACTGGTGATTTCCTCAGGCATCTCCTGAACTCTCAACTCATCAAGCACATCACAACAAACAGCAGTGAGATTAAAATCTTCCATCCAGGTTTCAGTTTCAAGGCTTTGCGACTGGAGGAAGTGGCGAAGGCAATGAATAAAGGGATAGACAGCTACATGTACCTGGCACCACAATGGAGTGGTACCGGAGTGGGGAAAGAACGGTTTAGCTGGAAAAGAAAAGGAGACAGCTGAGCTACAACTTTAACCCACCAAGACAGGTGGCTTGGTCAACAGTATCGGTGCAGGCATGATATGACCCTGTTCCTGGATTAGCAAATCAGACAGCAGAGTTTACAGCTGAACAATTTGAGCATTTGAAATAAGTTGGAAGAAAAATCTGGAAAGCTGGTCTCATCAAATGGTTTACAAATGTCATTTAGACAATATCTGCATTTGTCTAGCACCGTGACAATCTCAGAACATCCCAAAGTGCTTTGCAGTCAATGAGATACTTTAGAAATTTAGTTACTGTTGTAAACTAAGATTTGTGGCTGTCGATTAGGGAAAAAAACCTATTCTTATCCAGCCTTGCCTGTACATGACTCCAGACTCAGACCAACATAGTAAATACCCAAAGAGCAGCCAGAGAATGGCAACCTTATTAGTATCGCAAGAACTAATAAGGACAGACATGAGTAGCACAGAATAAGGGTTCTTCACACCACTCCCAACTCTCATCTATTACCAAAACTCACTATATTCAAATAGTGACGCAATAATCAGAGAACAAAGCCACTTGTCCTTTACCTGCTATTTGATTAGTGTTTCCTGTCCCGGGAGGAGGGGTTCCACTCCCCATAGAGTCTGCAGTTCTCCCGACAGGCTCCATTCCCCCTGGCCCCATTGCCATTGGCTGACTGAGTGCCTCAAGGAGAGAAAGCAATTGGACAGTTAAAAATACAAAACCAGAACAGTGGCTTCAATCACAGCATCATAATAATTTCCCAGAAAGGAAGTCAGGCAGGGGACATTGTTGTTCTGATGGTGGACAGCAGATTCTTAGAATTAGATGGGTCAAATGGCCTCCTGGTCCTACAGATTTCACTGTAACCACTGAATGTCACATCCAGTCTGTGGCCTAGTCAGCAAACAGAATCAATATAAAAACTCACTGACAGAGAAAAGTCAGGCATTTGACATTAGAAATCGTAGACACTCCTTCAAACCAAACCATTTTGCCACATTTTTAAGTTGTTTTGAAGATAAAAATTCTATTCAAAACTAGCAACATCCTCCACTCAGTAACAAGTGAGGGAGGGAGGAAAGCAGCAAATCACCAGCAAGGTTCCCCTGCCAGATAGTGAACTCTCCAACTGATGTCCCCATGATCGTGCAAGAGACTGAGATCCAGTCAGCAGCCTCTGGAAAAATCCTAAGACAAAACAACATCACCAGCATACCAACATTACAAAGAAAAAGAGAGAATTCTGGAGAAAGAAAGACACTTGTCTCTTGAACAGCTGATAGAATAACATTGTTTTGTGAATTCAGGTTCCCATCCAGATCAAAAAGTTATTTTCTGACTGATTTGCTGCAAGTCACTAGCTAACTGACTAGGAGGAGAATTTTCTTTCTGCAGCAAGCTGTTGTGATCTAGAATGCATTGTCAGAAATTGCAGCGGAACCAGGTTCAATAGCAACTTTAAACAAGGAATTGACTAAATACCTTGGAGAGGAGGAATTTTCTGGTCCACAGGAATAGACCAGGGGCACGGGAATTAGCAAATCGCTCTGTCAAAGAGCAGACACAGACATCAGCTCTGGAATTCTGCCTCCAACATCCTTTGCTGATACTTGCCTTGTTGGTGTTCTGCCAGTAGATGCTGCTGGTGAACAACTGCACCTTCCCCCTACACACTTTCACACCCAACAACAGTCAAGCAGCCTTTCATACTGCCTCAATGGTGCTAATATGTCACGCGTTGAACACACAACCATTCTCAGCAAAACTCCAGTTTACACCTTCAGGTTCAAACAGGGCATGGAATTCAGGTAAAGGGAAATTGCTGGCACATTCCAAATACGTGCTGTGAATCATCAATATCAAGCCCTGATACACACTTGACCTGACACCAGCAAGAGAAGAATAAGGAAAAGGTTTTACATTCAATCCAGGAAGACTGAACATCCAAGTCCGTGCATACCCAACCCGGTCACAAATCTCTACCAACACATTATTCCTCTTCCTCAGTCTAAGTGCTCTCTGCTCACCACTGAATCTGATCCACAGCTCGTATGCACTCCATTCTATCATGGACTGTACCCCATGCTGACTGTGGCTGCAATAAATGGGAATGGGGTTGCCCAATGTTATTTCCAGAGTACAGAGTACAATCACCAAGGCTGAGTAGCAGAGAGCAGAAGATGGGTAAATATTCCCAACTCATTGCTATTTGGACTAAGTGAGTTTTAATGCAAAACATATAGGAGGAGGAGTCAGGTCAAGACCTCATGGTCAGGGACCACACAGTGATACATGGTACAGCACACAGTTCCGGCCAGGGAACATGTGGGACAGTGCACAGGTTAGAGTAGGGATGCCTACACCCATTTCCCAGGCCTGCAGTAAACACTACATTTCTCTCCGTTACTGAGATGTTCAGTGTCACTTACCACAGGTTGGGCACTGGGCACATTCTGGCTGGAGTCTGCTATCGTGGCCAGATAGATGAGGTTTCTGTGTAAGATCTGCTGATATCTGAGTAACACACAATGAGAAAAGATTATTGATTTGTTACCTCCCATTTTCCCCTCAAGGCACTAACTCATTTTAAGGGACAGTCCTATATGGATTGACAAGCCAAGTGTCTATGCCTTTGACAGTCTACTTAGCAGGGATAGGGTCACCACTTCTCAGCTACCTTCAACTCGCCTTCATATCCCAGCATAGGTTAAAGCTACTAATGCTCCAGGAATTCATGATTAATCCCACAGGCATTACTGACAGTAAAATCCTGGGAGACAAACATTGGGACGTTAAAGAAATGTTCACTCCATTCACTATTATTATTTGTTGATTATTTACCTTGGGAACTGGAATTTTGGTGAAGACACAGACTTCTTCTCAAAGCTGCACTCATCATGTTAAGGTTCAAAAGGAACAACAATCTGTATTCAGTGAATTTATGAATTTAACAATGTGTGCAATTGAGTTCAGTACTAACACCACCAGATCTTCCCAAATACGTGGTGTTGCCATGGGATTCTATTTAGCATTCAAACATTTTTAGCAGTTTCAGAAATGCATTCTCAATAGAATCACCCTAAATCTCCTAACCCTTGCATATTTTGAATGTGCAGATGATACATTTGACATATTGCAATTAACCTGATGTATTTTAATGTTATTCATTTTGGATTTTGAATTTAAACTAGTGTCACTAGTGTGCATCTGAAGGGGTTTAATGATAAACTTGAAAGTACTTTTTTTTGAAAACATGAAAACAGGAGTAGGCCATTAGCCCCTTGAGCCTGTTCCACCATTCAATGAGATCATGGATGATCGGAGGCTTAACTCCACATACCTGCCTTTGGCACACATCCCTTAAAACTTCTGCAGCCTGTGGTGATTTATTTTAAAATCAAGACTTCCTGGAGAGGAATGGGTTTTATTTACCTTGGGAGAACTTATCCACCAAACAAAGTAAACAGTGTACTATATAAAGCTTTCAGGTAGAAGTTTCGGAGATTGCTTTTTGGGCTTAGGGGGAAAACATGTAGCTTCTACTATCTCTGAAAATAAGCTTTTGGGTTTCAGTTAGGCAATTCTGACTGGTTCTTAGCTGAAACTGAATGCATTGCTCCTGAGAAAGGGATAAAGCATTTTTGAAATATTAACAAAATAAAGGATACCTCAGCATAACGAGTTTTGCTTAGAAATTCTTGACCTGAAAATTCTTTGGTTATAACCCTGAACAGGTTGTGCACAGCTGAGAAAGTCTAATCTCAGTTATATGACAAATCAAGTAAGAGGCTATCAGATTCTCATGACCAGGAATTGACGCCATAGTTAAATCAAATCCTATGTGGGATACAGAACGGTATTCGAGTATTGGAATGGGATGCCATTAGGATTAATGGGATTGTGCTATTACAGTGTTTTTCATAATATTTAAATCTCCAACCTTGCGGGCCTATGTCTCATTGAGAGACAACCTCATTTAAAAAAAAATACAAGGAAACAAAATATGATCTACTAAGCTAGATTTCAGCCTGGGATCTGAGTTGTCCAGTAATAACATCAACTGGGATTGTAACATTTGAACTTGCAGTCATTTAAATGGAGACGAGGCAAGCTCAACATGGGAATAACCGCTCAAAACAGGAATAACCACTCAACAATATTACTCAATTTTCAAAATGTTTGTCCTGCTGTTTAAATCCCTTCAAAGCTTTGCTTTCTTGAATCCTGTAATCCTCAAGGTCTATCTTCCAATTCTGGTATCTAGTGCATCCATGATTTTAATTAGTTAAACAGTGGTGGTTTTGCTGTCAATTCCTTAAGCTCTAAGCTCTGGTATTCTATTGCAAAACCTCCCTGTCTCACTCTCCTCCTTCAGGACCTCCCTTGAAACCTAACAAGTTTCCCTAATACCTCCTTGGCTCAATCTAAAATATTGTTTGATGATACACCTATAAAGTCCCCTAAAGGAGTGTAGCTATCTTACTAAGGCAGGATATAAATGCAAATTGGTTTTGGACAGTATCATATTCTTAATCAGATAATGATGATAGGTGCCCTTATGGTTCTGGGACTGGACTATGGCCTCAGGGGTTGGATCCCAGCTCTATTGCAAACAGCAGCAAACATGTCATGGAAGCAGGCTGGGGGCAGGGCAGCAAGACTGACTGAGTGATCACTCTCTCCCCTCCACTTTTACCATCACCACTGACAAAATATTAGTGAGTATGGGTGAGACAGATAGGAGGGAAACATGACGCCTTGAAACCCAGGTTCCAGCAGCACGGAGACAAAAGTTTTTGGAGGAAATCTATTTCATAAACTTGCCAGACAAGAATGAAGAGTGAAACTTGCTGTGCAGCAAACACAAACAATGATATCACTTGTGTGTGCTGGCATCATGTTACTGTCAAGTCCAGACACATCCAGAACAAAGCTTGTATTGTCCATGAGACATCAACTTTTTCTGAAGAAGGGTCTAGGCCCGAAACATCAGCCTTCCGGCTCCTCTGATGCTGCTTGGCCTGCTGTGTTCATCCAGCTCTACACCTTGTTATCTCTAGCATCACAAAGCAAGTTCCTCTCAACATGGTCCTCACTGTTCACTCCCCAGGCCAGGCACAGCGTGGGTTAGATACAGAGTAAAGCTGCATGTTCATGCTAACCCATAACTACCAATGACATTAGCAAGGAGCAGTCAGGTTGACACTATTGGGTTGCCCTCAGGACAATAGTATTGGACAGAAAAAGAAGCCACTGCTGTAAATACTCTGTTCCATTCTGACCTGTGTTCACAGTCCACGTGAAACTGACCCTGCCTGAGCATAGACAGCAGCTGCATGAAGGTAAAGGAAATATGATACATCAAATCCACAGTGACAGAAGATAGAAGGCGTAGGGTCAAAAGTAGGCCAATCAGTCCATTGAGTCTGCTCCACCATTCGATGAGATCAGGGCTGATCTGATTATCCTCAACTACCCTTTTCCACCTTCCTGCCTTTGGCCAGAGTGGTCTAGGGGAGGTGGTGGTAAGACAGTAATGTCACTGGACTGGTAATCCAAAACTCCAGTCTAAAACTTAGGAACATGGTCTTGAATCTCACCATGGCAGATGGTGAGATTAGAATTCAGTAAAAATCTGGAATCAAAATGTCATGCTAAATTGCCCAGAGTGCCTAAGGATGTTCAGGCTAGGTAGGTTAGCCATGGGCAATGCAGGGTTACAGGGTAGCAGTGTGGGTCTGGTGGGATGCTCTTTGGAGGTTTGGTGTGGATTCAATGTGCCAAATGGCCTGCTTCCACACTGTAGGGATCGCATAAAAAGCTAACGTAGGACAGAGACTGGAATTCTGTCGAGGAACCCATCTTCTGCCCCAACTGCCAATGCATTTCCACACAAGACACAACTCAGGAATGAGAAGGAATATGACCTGTTTGCCTGAATGGGTGCAGCTCCAACAACACAAGAAGCTTGGCACCACCTGGGACATCTGACACTAAGTATCCTGCATGACTGGCACCCAATCGACCACCTTTAACTCACTGCCTCCACCATCAACACAGTGTATGCCATCTACAAGATGCAATGCAGTAACTCACCAAGGCTCCATTAAAAATATCCTCCAAACCCACGACCTCTACCACTGAATGGGCAAACTGCAGGTGTAGGGAACACTGTCACCTGAAAGCTTCCTCTAAGTACCCATCATCCTGACCTGGAACTATATCACCATTCCTTCATTACTGCTGGACCAAATGTCCCGGAGTTAACTCCGTAGCAGCACTAAGGGTAAGCCTGCCCAAGATTGAGAGAGACAGCTCATCACCATCTTCTCCAGGACAATTAGGTATGGGTAAGAAGAACTGTCCTAGATGCTCATTGCCTGGGTGAATTTTTAAATGAGCATGGAGAAACAGAGTTAAGTGTCTGAAAGAGGAGTGTTTGCCTCGCTGACTGTAGATTGAAAAATAAGGAGCCGAGTGAACAAAAGAGAGCAATTGGAGGTTGGCAGGCGAAGTAGCGCAGGCTTTCAAGTGGAAAGAAATGGCGAGTACAAGGTCAGGAGGAATACAACCGAAGACGGAAATGCCTCTCATTGAAAGGGTGCATTCTACCAGAACAAGAGAAGAGAAGCTGGAAATTAATGGGGACTGAAAGGGAGAGTGGGAGGTGTGGGATAGTAAAGATGACAAGAGTAGTGTCTGAGTAGTTCCAAGGGTTATACTTTCTGCTCCAAGTTAGAAGGTCACCTGTCCAAGCCCGACTCTAGAGACCTGAGCCCATAATTTTGGCCAATACTCTACAGCAGCACTGGTGTCCAGTATTGTGAGACAAGCTGTCTATCAACTACATGTTCAGTGGAGACCTGGCTGCCCCCACAGATAGACATTAAAAAAAAATTCCACTGTCAGTATTTCAAAGAGCTGCTATGGAATTCTGCCTAGTGTCCTGACCAATATTTATTTCTCAACCAACATTGCTAAAACAGAATATCTGTAATTATCACATTGCTGTTTGAGGGAATTTGCTGAGTACAAATCAGCTGGTGCATTTCCAACATTGTAACTTGGACTACGCTTTAGGAGCGCTTCACTGGTTGCAAAGCATGGCATTATGTAACTGCTGTCTTAAAGCCGGTGTTGTTCACTTAGTGTTGCAAGTGTGGGTGGACAATTAACATAAATTGATGAATTAGAGGTACTTCCATTTTGGAACCCAGAAATCTGCCTCGGGAAAGCAACCAACACAATCAAAGACCCTTCCTATCCCAGTTATACTCCCTTCCAACCTTCCAAATTCAGGTAGAATTTGAATACACATACAAACAGATTCAAGAACAGCTTCTTCCCAACGTTTTTAAGACTTTTGAATGGACCTCTCAAATGTTAATTCTGATCTCTCTCTCTGCATCTTCTCTGTGGCTGTAACACTATATTCTGCACACTGTTCTGCTACCTTGATGCACTATGTATGGTACAATCTGCCCATATAGAATCCAAAACAATACTTTTCACTGTATCTCAGTACATGTGACAATAATAAATCTGGGCTAACCTTCTAACTAATTCTCCCAGTAAC